GGACATTAGATGACGTGTAGCACTGGGTAGGTCAGCTGCGAAGGAACTCTTTCAAGTGCTGAGGAGCAAGGATGTCTCCTTGAGGACTAAGGTGCACCTAACACAGGCCATGATATTTCCAATCACTTCATATGCATGTGAGAGCCAGACAATGAATAAGGAAGACCAAAGAAGAGTTGATGCTTTTGAGTTGTGGTGCTAGCGAAGAATGCTGAAGGTACCATGGACTGCCAAAGGAACTAACAGATCTGTCCGGGATGAAGTGAAGCCAAGATGCTCCTTGGAAGCGAGGATGGCCAGACTTTGTCTCACCTACTTTGGTCATGTTGTCAGAAGGGACCATTCCCTGGAGAAGGATGTCAGCTTGGTAGGGTGGAGCATCGACGAAAGAGGGGAAGGCCTTCAATGAGATGAATTGACACAGTGGCTGCGACAATGGGCTCAAGTATAGCAAGGATCATGGAGCTGGTGTGGGATCGTGCAGTGTTTTGGTTTGCTGTGCATGAGGTCGCTGTGAGTCAGAAGCGACTCGATGGCACCTAACAACAAATCTTCCATGTTATTAGGGGCTCTGGTAGCATAGTGCCTAAGGCATTTGACTGCTAACCAGAAGGCTGGTGGGTTTGAACCACCCACCTTCTCGGAAGGAAGGTTGGGCAATCTACTTCCATAATGATACTGCCACAGACACCCAAGGAGAGGTTGCTGTGAGTCAAATCTGACTCTATGGCAATGTGTTTGGCTTTTTTTTTTTTTTTTTTTTTTTGGTTTTTCCGTGTTATTACCCAAATCACCATTCAGTGAGCCTTCATTGTTTTCAGGTTAAGGTTCTCATTCTTTGCATACAAGGGCCCTGTTTGCCAAATTCTAGTCTTTCATCCTCTACTTACGCTTGCCAAAATTCATCTTATTCTTACCTATTTTTTTTAATGGTTGTAAAGATACATATCACACAACTTTAGCCAGTTCAATGTTATGCAGTTGTACAGTTGATGACATCATTTATGTTAATAATTTTGTTCAGCCATCACCCATGCTGTGGTTGTTAGGTGTTGAGTCAGCTCCAACTCACAGCAACCCTATGTACAACAGAATGAAACAGTGCCACATCTTGTGCCGCTCTCATAATCACTGCTATGCCTGAGCCCACCATTTTAGCCACTGTGTCAATGCATCTTGTTGAGGGTCTTCCCTTTTTTTTTGCTGACCTTCTACTTTACCAAGCATATCTCTCTCCAGGGAGTGGTTCCTTCTGACAGCAAGATCAAAGTAGGTGAGATGAAGTCTCACCGTTCTCACATCCAAGGAGCATTCTGACTGTACTTCCTCCAGGACAGATTGTTCATTCTTCTGGCAGTTTGTGGTATTTTCAACATTCTTCGCCAACACCATATTCAAAGGCATCAACTGTTCTTCGATCTTCCTTATTCACATTGTCCAGCTTTCATAGGCATATGAAGCAATTGACAATATATGCCTTGGGTTAGGCACACCTTAGTCTTCAAAGTGACAATAACAGTGGCTTCTGCTCTCCACCCCAACCACTAATAAACTTTGATTTTGAAACATTTACATCTTCCTATTATTTCATATAATTGATACTATACAATATATTTCCTTTTGTGATTGACTTATTTCACTCAGCATACTTTCTTTTCAAGGTACTTCTATTTTGAAGCATGTATCAGGACTTCATTTTTCTTTATGATTGAGTAGTAGTCTATTTTGTAGTACATACTTTGGTGGACATTTAGGTTGCTTCCACCTTTTGGCTAATATGAACAGTACTTCAGCGCACACTGGTGTGCATGTGTCTGTTAGTATAGCTGCTTTCAAGTAGCTTGGAAATACACCTCTTGACGTGTTACTATTATTATTTTTTAAAATTTGTTGCAGTTTATTCTTACTTTTCACTTTCACAACAATATGTGGAATCAATTTCTGTCTCTGATTTACACATGAAAGTAGGATGCTCAGAGAGGTTTAAATAAGGCAGAATTCCCAGTCTAGAGCAAAGGACAGTGAAGAAAATCAAAGATGCAAGGAAACAATCCAGAGGACTAATGGACCATGTAAACCCCAGCCTTCACATCCCTGAGACCAGAAGAACTAGGTGATACCTGGCTACCACTGCTGACTACTCTAAAAGGGATCACAATAGGAGGTCCCACATAGAGTGGGAAAAAAATGTGGACCAGACTCAACCATAAAAAAAAAAAAAAGACCAGGTAAAGAAAAGACCAGGCTTACTGGTCTAATGAAGACTACTGGAACCCTGGAAACTATGGCCCTTAGATACCCACAAGCCAGGAACTAACCTTTCCCCTTGGCTCAACTTTCAGCCAAATGATAGGCCTGTAAGATGAATAGTAATACCAGGAAGGTATGTCCTTATTAAAACAATCAACTGTTAAGAGTATTTGCCCAGGGATAAAGCTTAGAAGGCAGGGAGGGATAGGAAAGGAAGGACTCAGGAAAATGGTAACCACAGGTAAGAAGTGGGAAGAGTGCTGTTACATTGTAGGGATTGCAATCAGTATCACAAAATAAAATGTGTATGATTTGTTGAATCATTAATCAGTTTGCTCTGTAAACTTTCACCCAGATCACATTAAAATAAATAAATAAGCCAGAGTTCAGACTTGAATCTGTCGGACTCCCAAACCTGTTTACCTTTATATTTTTGATGCTGATAAATGCCCCACTGTGTTCTCTCTCAATGAATTACTGAGATCAACTCTTCCATATTACCCCAGTGACTTCCAGGTGACTTCTCTTTTAAAAAAAAAAAATATTGTGGTTTGGGTGAAAGTTTACAGAGCAAATTAGTTTTCCATTCAACAATTTATACACACTTTGTTTTGTTATATTACTTGCAGTCCCTTCAGTGAAATAGCACTCTTCCCACTTTCGCCCTAGTTCCCTGTTTCCATTTGCCCATCTTTCTTCCCTCTTCCTGCAGTCTGAACTTTGTTTTTGGGCATATGCTGCCCTTTTCGTCTCATATGGTTTGATTGTTCTGAGGAACATCTTCCTCATGGGTGTTACTGTTTAGTTTATAGGCCTGTCTATTGTTTGACTGAAAGGTAATTCGTATGGGTGGGTTCATTTTCACATTTGAAGAATGTCTGAGGATGATAGTGTCAGGGGTTCCATTAGTCTCTATCAGACCAGTAAGTCTGATCTTTTTTATGATTTTGCATTTTGTTCTACATTTTTCTCCCACTCTGTCCAGAACCTTCTTAAGTCTGTCTAACTGTACAGCATCTAATCTATTTTTCACTTATCCAGTACTCATTTTCCACTTACTGTGGCAAATGTTTGTGTAAATACAGAAAATTATCCTACTATTTGTAAACCAAGTTCTGCTTGATATTTTATTTAACTTTCTGTAAATCACCTAACCCCATCACCCTGAGTCAATTTCCTAAACTTTTTAATGAAATAAGTAACTGTTCTATAGTTTTTCTTTGAAAATTACCTTAAAAAAATACTGTGTAAATGACAATTAGTGATCTTGTAGAAGATAAGGGATCAAAATTGTACATGCTGCTACATCTTTCTCAGTTACAATGTTTTAATACATTTTCTCAGGTTTTAAAAAGTGGCAGAAAGAAGAAAGGAAAGGGAAAGCAGAATGTTAAGAAATCTTTATATGGGGAAAGAGAAATTGCTTCCAAGAAACCTCTCCTAAGTCCTATTCCTGAGATCCCCGAGATCTCTGAGATGACGCCTTCATTTCCTGGCATCCGAAGGATCTACTCAGGTATATTGTCTTTTTCTCTGATTACGCTGTATCTCTTCTCTTCACCCTCTTTGTGCTATTTCACTCTCTTTTTTTTCCTTTTTCCCTTTCATTATGTAAAAAGTATATAAATGAAATGGCGTAGTGCCTAAGGCATTTGACTGCTAACCAGAAGACTGGAGGTTCAAACCCACCAGCCACTCCTCAGAAGGAAGGTTGGGCAATCTACTCCCATAGTGATACTGCCTTGGAATCCCAAGGAGGGGGTCTCTATCAGTTGAAATCGACTCGATGGCAGTGACTTTGGTTTTTAGTTTTTTGCCTCATAATACTCTGAGAATTTTAGTGAGAGAAACAAAATCCTTGAAGGCAGTAGTTTCTAAGTTTTAGGTCACGGCCACCCTTTTAAGAATGTTTTAGAAGTTCTAAATCTCATCCTCAGCATCACTTCTACAGGATTTTGCTTATAATTCCGAGGGACTCTTATCTTTTCATCCTGTTCCCTTTTACTTTTTTTTTAACGTATTTTGTTAAAATGAATTCTACTTTGTGGTGGTCTACCATTAAAAGCTGAAGAGGTGATGGCTTAGTATTAAATATACCTTCTATGACTTAGAGACAGAAATTTAAGAAAAACAAAAGTTATCCCATGATGTTTAAGTAGAATTGGCACAACTAAACATCATCCAAAAATGGAATTTATAAATTGAACTTGGTGATCTTGAAACTTTTGTTTATAAGGGAAGATTAGGTCATTTGATTTTTGGTTAGATAAAAATGAGTTGGAATTGCCTCTGTTCTGAAATGCCTGGGTTTTAAATTGATTAAATCATGCTGAAAATAATGTATATCCCATTTGGTGTGGTGATTTTGTATAGAAAGATTTTTTAAAATAGCTGCCTTTGTCAGTCATCAAATATGTATCGCCTGCATATTATTGGCAATACACTGTATGGGATTTATAATAGATTCAAAGATGAATGAAGTAGATGCCACTACAGAACCCTCTACCTACAGAAATATATAAGACTTCTTCAGGATAGAAGTTTAAATGACAGACAAACTACCACAGCTGTACACACCTGCACATGCTCTTCTCCAGCTCCTTGGCATCAGCAGTGGCAGCACTTTGTGGAGTGTCTTGGGTGGTGGTATAGTGCCTAAGGCATTTGACTGCTAACCAGAAGGCTGGCAGTTCAAACCCACCAGCCACTCCTTGGAAGGAAGATTGGGCAATCTACTTCAGTAGTGATACCACCTTTGAAACCCAAGGAGGGGTTGCTGTGGGTCGGATACGACTCGACGGCAGTGAGTGTGGGTTTTTGGTTTTATTATTCCTCAGCACCCTCCTTCCCCAAAGTTCTAGTCTCCTTGAGAATGAAACTAAGTCTTATTTTCCTTATATCTCCAGTTCCTACAACAGAGGAGTTTTTTCAAGAGCTGTTTCAAGAATACCTGTTAGTATGATTTTACATCTTGCATCCTTTAGAAAATTTCTTTTTAAAAACACCTGGGCGTCTTTTTATCCATAAACTAATCGTATCACCTGCTACAGAGTATAAAGCAATTCCATTATTTCTTTCTTTCTTTTTCATTCTTTTCCTTCTCTTTTCCTTTTCCCTCCTTGTTTCTTTCTTTCCTTTTCTAGTATGTTAATTGTATAATATCTTTAATACTAATTTCATACTGTTGTTAATTCCATTCATATGAAAAATACAAATCAATTTTTTAAGTATTCAAAGATCTCAACTGACATATTAGTTGGTTGGCATGGTGTTTTTTAGGCATTTGGGTCAGTTTGTACTTTGTATATTGTCCATTTTTGATTTTAAGAGTTTTTTCATACAGGCATACTTCGTTTTATATTGCACTTCATAGATACTGCATTTTATACAAATTGATGGTTATGGCAATATTGCATCGATCAAGTCTTTCAGTGCCATTTTTCTAACAGCATGTGCTCACTTCTTGTCTGTGTGTCACATTTTGATAATTCTTACAGTATTTCAAACCTTTCATAATGCTGTTGTATGCTTTGGAGCTCTGGTGGCGTAGTGCCTAAGGCACTTGACTGCTAACCAGAAGGTTGGTGGTTCAAACCCACCAGCCACTCCTTGGAAGAAAGGTTGGGCAATCTACTTCCGTAGTGATACTGCTTTGGAAACCCAAGGAGGGATTGCTATGAGTTGGATCCAACTCCACGGCAGTGTGTTTGATTTTTTATTGTATGCTTAATAGACTAAAAAACCCGCTGCCATTAAGTCGATTCTGACTCATAGTTGACCCCCTTTGGGTTTCTGAGGCCGTAATAGACTGTAGTTTAGTGTATATATATATATATATATATATATATTTATGCAGTGGGAAACCAAAACATTTGTGTAACTCACTTTAAAGTGATACTTTGTTGTGGTGGTCTGGAACTGAACCTGCAGTATCTTGAGGTATGCCTGTACTCATTTGAGTGGCCAATCAAAAACTGTATATCCAAGATAGCAAGAGAGATGGCATCTGGTAGTATCATAAAGCCTGAATATATGTAGGCTGCATTATCTTAATGATGATGTTCTCTCTAACCTATGATTTGACACAGTGTGCTAGAAACACATGAAGCCATAGGCTGCATGTGGCACATCTTTCTAGAGCTTGAATTTTAGTCAGATTGAGGAGGGAGGGGGAGATTTTTAGAATATTGAAAGAAACATAGCTTTATTAAAGTGTGCAAAACCAAACCCACCCCACTGCTATCAAATCAGTTCTGACTCATAACCCATTGGGTCTCCAAGGCTGTAAATCTTTACACAAGTATTGCCTCATCTTCCTCCTGCAGAGCACTTGATGGGTTTGAACCACTGACCTGGTTAGCAGCCAAATGCCTTACCCACTGCACTACCAGAGCTCCTTATTAAATAGCACAGTGCAGTTCATTTATTAATTTTTTAATACAAAGCATGTCGTTTTAGCTGCTGAAATCCCCCAGAATCCCAAATTTCCTCTCTTCAGTACTGTTTTCAGTACTTCATTTCTAGGGAAATAGGAATTGTAGCTGCCTCAAACTTACTGATGTTGTAGTGAAGGGAGTATATTCTGAGGGAGGAGAGAATTTAAGATAGTCATATTTTCATGGTCTGAGGTTAGATACATTAAATACCTATTTTCTTAACCTATGGATTAGGGCCAAACTAAACGAAAAAGAAGACAATGACAGATCAGGACAAATACATGTAACATTTGTAAGTCTTATGATTTTTGAAAACTTAAAACATAGAATACAATAGGGTATAATTAAGCGTCTTTGATTTGTTAAAGTTTATTTATTATTACTTTCTAATTAGATTTCACTTTATTTACCTACCTATAGATAATTTCAACTCAAATGGCAAACTTGAGGAAGTGCTGAAGCCTCCTAAAAATCTGACTAAAAGAAAGACTCTTTTGCCTCAGATCCCAGAAGGTTTGCATATGAATCAAAGTTTTGATAAGTGTGATATATCTGAATTCTGCAACTCTTACATAAAAAGTTCCTCATTGCTTGACACTGCCCCTTCTGACCAAAGTTCAAATATAAACACTGTAGAAGTTAATGAAAATGAAAGTATTCCAAAAGCAGAAAATAAATTAGAAGGTGAAAATGAGCTAAACACTGGGCGTGAGGATGAAAACCATTGTATTTCTTGTGCTTCTGTGACTGAAGAATATATTTTATCAGCTCATCCAGAACCGAATTTTATCCTGCACTTCCAGGAGTTTTCTCCTGCTGGTCAAAATGTGAAAAACCTTTGTCAAGTCTTTAAAATTTCAGAAGATATAAGCACAAAGTGTGAACAACAGGATGATTTCTTAGTAGCTGCTGAGGGAAAACGTAACTCCAGTCATTTAATGTCTGACTCAGAAAAAGAAGATGTCTTCACTGAAAACGCAAAAGAAATGAAAGGTCAGTGTGAGGATTTGGGAAGAAAATCCACAGAATGTAGTGAAATGACTTGTAAAGAAAGGAAACATAGAAGACGCTCTATGTATTATCCTGATGGTCAAAGTTTACATTTGGAAAAAAACGAATATCACAAAAATGCCAACAAGGTGAGCAGCTCTGTAGAAATTGATTTAGAAAATTCTGAACTATGTAAAGACTTATCTGATGCCATAGAGCAAACCTTTAAGAGAACAAATAATGAAACAAAAGTGAGACGTAGCACAAGGTTACAAAAAGATTTGGAAAATGAAGGACTTATATGGATTTCACTTCCTTTTCCTTCCACTTCCTGCACTTCTCAAAAAACTAAAAGGAGAACAATATGTGCAGTTGACAGCAAAAGATTTGAAAGTTTGCCCTCCAGAAAAGAAACTCTGTCCTCCAGACAAAAGCCAGATATGCCATCCTCTGTATCAGATGAAGAAAACAGTGAGGATTCGACTGCTAATTCTGCTAATTTACTTAGGAAGAGAAGGATGAGTTTTTGTACATCTGTACTTACAAATACTAAAAGTGCTACTCAGTCAGAATACGCCAGAAGAAGATCTTTCCTCAACCAGAAGGACTAAAGCTCTCTAAAGGACTTTGAAAGAATTCAATATATTGGAAAACTAAAGAAAGAAATGATATTCCCTGCGGAACATTTGGCAAGGGAGAAGGTAACGATCCATGTTTAAAAGGTTCTTTCATTCTAGGTCAGATTCTTTGTTCAACTTCAGTGTTTTAAAAGTTTCAAATAAAATCATTTGAGTTGAACCTACTTTTAAGTAAAATAAGTGAATTTATTCATCATCCAAAAAGAAAACACTGTATTAATATGTTCTCATCCCCCTAAATGGCAAATGCCTTTTTAGACCCAATGCTGTCTCTCGTAAATTCTTATTGCGTGTGAGTACATATTTAACCACTGATTGTTTAGGAAGCTTCGGTTGTACAAAGTGTCTTTTAGGGTTGGCTGATTATATGTAGATAAGAAGAATTCTTTTTAAATAGACAAATTGATAGACTTCATGAACTTTATGATAATTGAAGGCAGTATAATTTTGAAGGCTAGGAAAGAATGGAATGAGAATGTGTTATTTTAAAATAGAGCCCCACCTCAAAAAAAAAAAAAGTGGTTAAAAAGATGTTGACAATTAGTTGGAAAAACAGGAATTAAAAACTTGTTTTCCCTTTAGGTTAAAGTTAAAGCTTTAGTGACTTGCTTTACCTGTCTTAAATGAAAATTTTATTTAATAGTTAAAGTCAAGTGAAATTTCTGAAAATTCTTTCAGTAACTGGAATTTCATAAATCCATCATTGTAAAATGAATATGTGATTTGTAAGTAACTCTAAGCATTAGTCCTAAAATGATTCCCTTATGATTTGTAGGGTAGGGGTGGGAGCTTGGTTGTTGGTGAAAATGCAGCAGTTCTGTGTAAGGCTCAACTCTCAGATTATTCAAGTTAGTCACAGGTAACTCAGGATTCAATTCATGGTTCTCTAAAAGAAGAACAACAGAAACTCATCTTTAAGAGGTCCTAGAAAACTAGTTAACTAGCATGAAAAATGATAAGTCACTGATTCCCCCTCCCAAATGGCATTTTCCAGCAGTGCTGACTTTTTATTTCATAATTTCAAATCCTATCTTTTGTTTCAGGTTTTCTAAACCTCCTATAGCTATTATGGTGATAGCTGTTTGGAAATCTGAATTGCTATGTATTTTGAACTTGTGAATGTGCATAAATCATTGTATCATTAAACAGTTGTCTTTGAAATCCTTTAAATCATCAAATTCTCCCTCTCCATGATAGCAGAAACATGTTAACAAATAGAGCTCCCTATAAATAACACAACAGGGAAGAAAGCTCCTGCTGAGTTGCCCATTTTCCCCTCCTTAGATAGAGACTATTTGTTACCTTCTTGGCACCAGTAGGTCTGGAACTCCTGCTGCTAAAGACTAATGTATTTTACATTAACACTCAAAGTGATCCCCAATTTCTTCTCTAAAGGGTGGATTGTTTAAAAGATTTCTTTTATCTTTACAAGTACATTCTTTATGGACTACTCCCCCCCCCCCTTTATAATTTAGTGTCCTTGGCAAATCAGTATCACTGAAAACAAACCAAAAGAGAACTAATTAACTTAGCTTCATTGTGAAGACTTTTTGTTCTTTTAATTAAAAAAAGAAAAGGAAAACAAATTTGCTAACAGAAGGTTTTAAAAAAGTTTTGTATTTGCCTTCTTTAACATGAAAGCTAAAAAAAACTTTTACTTATTTCCCCCCTTTTTACTGTATGACAAAATATAATCTCATTTGTATTTGAAATTTTAAAATTATACATGCTTTGTTTTATTTCTCAAAAAGTGCCAATAAGGACAAGAGAAACTGGATCTGTGATTTTGGTCTGATAATTTCCACTGCATTCTGTCTTCTGACAGAACAGCTAAAAAATGAAATACATTGTACACTTTAGAGGTTCTCTAAGTTTCAAAGTGTTTCATTATAAACATTTTGTTGATGTTTGCAGATAAGAAATAGGCAGTTTTCCTAAAATGAACAGGTCTAAAACTGTTTTTCATTAGTACTTAAACCAGAAAGAATCTTGACTTCCAGATAGTTTTTTCCTACCTTACCTTTTTTAGTGCGGTAACCTTTGACATTTTGCCATAGAAAGTTACATACTCTTTTTATGTTGGTGTAGATTCTTGTTTGTTCCAGAAGATGGCAGCAAGACATCTGAACTTTTTCCCTCCCATATGCCTGACCATAAAGTCAGGACAACTCTAAATTGTTGCATGTACTTCCCTTTAACTCTCATTTTTATTATAAAAGTACTATGTGTTTATTGGGGGTGGTGAGGAGGGAGGGAGAACAGTACAGAAGTAGAAAAATTGACAGCTGTCTTCCTTTCTCCACTCCATGTAAGTATCACACAGCCACACTGTCCTCTCTGTAGCATTCTATGTATAAACACTGTTAACAACTAGCTTATATCTTCCAGACCTGTGTACACATGAATATAGGTTTTGTTGCTTTTTAATGGTTTCACTATATGCACCATTCTGCACCTTTTTTTTTTTTTTTTTTTAACTCAACGTAGTACCAGGAATATCCTTCAATCTTAGTGTGGAGCTCTCTAGTGCTAATTTATTATTCTTTAATCCCTATATAGAAGTATGTGGTTTGGATATCTGTAATTTAGCTAGCCATCTCCTTACTAATGGATGGTAGTTGTCTACAGTTATTCGCTATAACTGGTGCTTGTGAGAAAATGTCTGTAAGATCATTCTTTGAAAAGGAAATGATTATTAAGTTTTCTTCCATAGATCTTAACCTGGCAAATTTCCTTTATAAACACCTAAGTAAGAATTATTGCGGTGTAATTAACCCAAAGTAAAATTTACCCTTTTTAAATGTATGGCAAATGTATATTCTGTATTCATGTAACCACCAACACTCACATAATAAAACATTTGCATCATCCCAAAAGAAATTCCTTCCTGCAGTCAATCCTTCTTTCCCACCTGGAACCCCTGCTATGATTTGTATGCTATAGTTTTGCCCTTTCTATAATGTATAAATCAGATCATACACTAGAAATTCTTTTGTGTCTAGTTTTTTTAACTTAGCATAATGGTTTTCAAGATTCATCCGTGTTGCGTGGTTTAAGTATTGATTCCTGTTGATTGCTGAGTAGTATTTCATTAATGGTTGTACCAATTTATTTATCCATTTACCGACTGATGGATATTTGGATTGTTTTCACTTTTTGGTTATTACAAATAAAGCTGCTATAAACATTCACATATTGATCTTTGTATGGATCATACATGTTTTCATTTATCTTCAGTAAGTACCTAGCAGTGGAACTACTGGGCTGTATGGTAGGTAAATATTTTAACTTTTGAAGAAACAGCAAAAACTATATTAATTGGCTACATTTTGCATTCCCAATGTTGCTTGATATCTTCATGAGCACCTGTTGGTATCAGTCTTTTTCCTTTTAATCATTCTTTTGGTTTACATTTTCCTAAAGAATAATGATGTTGAACATCTTTTCATGTACTTACGTACCATGATGATAGGTTCTTTGTTGAAATGTCTATTCAGATCTCTTGCCTGTGTTTTTTTTGTTGCTGTTGTTGTCTTACTTTTTTTTTCTTTAATTCAGAAAGAGTTCTGTGTAATTTAGGTACAAGTCCTGTATTGGATTTGTGTCTTCCATGTATTTTTTCCTGGTCTGTGGCTTGTCTTTACGTTTTATTAGGAGTGTCTTTTGAAGAGTTGTTACGTGCCGTAGAGTCAGACCCAACTCATAGCAACCCCTCCTTGGATTTCCAAGGCAGTATCACTATGGAAGTAGATTGCCCAACCTTCCTTCTGAGGAATGGCTGGGGGGTTTGAACTGCCGGCCTTCTAGTTAGCAGTCAAGTGCCTTAGGAACTATGCTTTTTGATGTCAAATTTATCTCTTTTTTTTTATTCCCCCTTTAATGGTTCATGCTTTTTGCATTCTATCTAAAATCTTTTCCTAACTCAAGGTCACAGACACTTTGTCTTATGTTTTCTTATAGAAGTTTGATAGTTTTAGTTCTCACATTTAGGTCTGTGATCCACTTTGGGTTAATTTTCATGTATATTATATAAGGTGAGGGTGGGAGGTTATTTATTTATTCATTTTATATGGACATCATCCAGCATCATTTGTTGAAAAAGATTATCCATTCCCCATGGAATTACTTTGGCACCTTTGTTGAAAATCAGCTGCCTTGTGTGCGTAGGTCTATTAATGGATTTTATTGTGTTTCACTGATGGAAAGGAATGCCCTGACCTATTAGCCTTGGTCTGATTAGGTAGGTTTGTTTTGTTTTTCTTTCTTTCTAGAAGAAGAGATGTTTGAGCAAAGTACACTAACAGGAGTTTTAAAGGAGCGGGGATCCAAAAACTACATTCTATTCCAGACACCCTTTCGTTTTTATTTACTAGACTAGACACTGTAGGTTGGCTTCATCTCAGAAGTTTTTATTTTTAAACATTTTCCTTAAATTCCTGTTATATTCTGCCCCATGAAAAAAAAGAGGAAGGATTCATTTGAGAGTAGACTACAGGTTGTGAATTGTACATTCAAAGTTTTAATTAAGTCTTGAACATTCCTGCAGTTCTTTTTCTTTTACTGTCAGGTTTCTTTGTAGGATATATAAAGGTTTGAGTCTGGGTTTAGAGTGCCTTCATCAGAGAGCATAACTGGGATAAGTCAAATTAGATCTCCCCCTTTCCAAATAGCATTTATTTCTGAATCTTAAATTTGTTTGAAGAATATTACATAGCCTTGACTTGGCTCTAAAAAAAGCCAAACTCATTGCTGCAAGTTGATTCAGACTCATAGTTGATCAATGTACTGAAGTCTTAACGATTCAAGTTTGTCTAGTGGTTTAATTTTTGGACATTCTTTGATACTTTTCATGAAATTGTGATACAGACTACAAGTAATGTAATAATGTAAGTGAGAAGATAGTAATAAATTACAGCCATTCTTGTCCATATTTTGTCCCATAACTTCAACCACAATGATCCTTAACCTGGTTA